CTGTCTGAGGTAAAGGAAAAACGCACGCTAATCAGTGAATGCAAAAGTTACTTATCGATTAGTTGTTTGTTTGATCTACCGACCCTACTGAGTTACCAAGGGGTTAAAAAATTTAGGATAAAGCGACGCTGTGTGAATGGCATCACAAAAGTCGCTCTTGACTCAGAATATTTCACGGGTTCAAGAAACTAATAGTTGAAGTGATCAGGAGTCAGCTATTCATGCATAAACACGGTATTTCATCAGAGATTTTCAACCTTCATCTCAAATCTTACACTAATTCTATAAAATTAGAAAGATACATGTAACAATCAAAACACAAGTTCTTCAGAGGGATTTGCTTTCCCTCACCCCTTTAGTCGGCGGTATTTAGTATAAAAGCAAACATAATAAACATTTACCTTGGTTCGAAAACAAAGAACTAAAGCCTGGTATCAAACACCTCTTCTTCCCCTGAATGGAATAAGAAAAGAGATAGAAATACAACGCGATCATTTTTTTTAAGCGATACAGTAATAATTTGCACAAATACAGAAAACAGAGCTGCCACTTATTAGAGCTCATTGAATTTTTGCATATCTGTGTTGAAGTGTTTTGAAAACTGAGGTACACAACATCACAGTCACTATTTCCATCCAATGAGCTGTGGTAAGTGGCGGCTATGTTTTCTGTATTTGAGAAAATTATTAGTGTGTCGCTTTAAAAAAACAAACAAAAAAACACGTAAAACGGCTTCATAAACTCATAAATTTTGGATTTTAGCATTGCATAAAATGTTATGGCTCTTCGTTACGAGAAGGTGTAATAATTCTCAAATGGTATGGTTTTTTTTCAATAACGTCACCTCCCGATGTGAATCGCGACCTTTCGACTGAGCACTTCAAGTGTTCTTCTAGTAATAGAGCGGAATAATTATGCGTCACCTTATGAAGCATTGTGTGGACCAATTTGAGTTTATCTCTTCTGATTTGTAAAAAAAAATACCTTCTTCTGCGACATCCGTGCCAGGCTCATGCGCCTTCTCTTCTTCTTCAGCTTTTCTAGCTTCTTTATAAAATGATTCATTTGATATAAAAAAAAGTTTGTATTCAGTCATTAAATCTTGTCTTTGTACCTAGGAATTAAAATCGTTAATGCTTCCCCAATTTCTAAACCAGAATTTTTCCAGTGACTACCAAGGTAAAATAGATGTTTTACTATTCATAAAATGCCTTAATCTCTTCAGTAACTAATCAAAAACTATTATCTCCTTTACCTTTGTTACTAGGAACTGAAATCTCTTCAATCTCCACCTGCTCCTCAGATTCACCAGCTGTGTGAAATCAGATTCATTGTTAAAATCTATGAGGTTAGATAACGCAGCCCATGGCCCGCTATTAAGCCAGCAAATTAGTCCAGGTGCTACTTACACTGTAGGCTGAAATAAATGAGACCCTTGGGGGACAAATTTTCAGTTCCTAAAAAGCATTTCATTGTTTTTACCTTTCTCAGTTGGCTTTTTAGGTTCAGGCTTACTTCCTCCTTCTTGATCTGCACCTAGATATTTAAGATATATTGTATTCAATTTTTGTCCTCGCATTTGACAAAGTGATTGATATTTTGGGAGGATCACCAGGGACAGGGCACAACTTGAATATGCAAGATTTTTGAAACAGTCAGCCGTGCACTTTTATCACCTCTTAAAAACCTTGGTTGGAGGCCCCCAATTTACCCTATCATTAGCTTCTTTTTTGCCTCCGTTACCTTACAGGATGAGTGAGTCACTATAGCTTACAAGTAGCTACCCCTGAACTTTACAAAAATGTAATTCTATCAAAGCAATGAACCAAAAATGATTAAAATCAGGCTGGTGCTGGCTTTGTATCAGAAATGTTGCACAAGTTTCCATTAAATGTATCTTGACGATAAAGAAAGTGAAATATTGTACATATTGAAATCTGCAACAATCGCTCTATATTTCAACTATTGTATCAGAAGCTATAAGTAACACTGAAGAGGAGTGTCCATTATTACAAAGGTTCTTGTAACTACCTAAATCGTCGATCAATACCGATAATTTTTTAGACCTGTTTTCAAGTCAATTTCAAATGGAACTAATGGTTTCATAAAACTAGGCAATTCTCGACATAAGAAACTTCTATTAGTGTGTAGAGACACTCCTACTTACACAAGATGTCAACTATTACCTTCTTTTTGCTGGCTCTCGCCCTGATCAACAGTTACTGCAATGAAGAATACTATTCATTTAAATAAACTACTAAATTTCTCTACAAACCTACTTTACTTACATTAGATGTCCATATGTATTCAATTATTCATTGATTGATGAAATATCTCTGAGTTACAAAGCTCACATTTAAATCTGCAAGTTAATTTATGCGCTTGAAAATCTACCAAATACAATTATTAAGATACATTGCCTTTCTTCCTTTTGGTGATTCTTATGACCGGTTGTAAAGTGCAATATGTAGTTGAAGTCACATGGTATAACTGTGACTTTTGTAGTACTACTCTTGTAAATAAAGCGGTTCTCTCTGCCTTCTTTTTGTTTTT